CATACACCCGGCGCAATGCGGCGCCAGGCGCGACGCAAGTGTTTTTTGCTAGTTTCAGCCCGACGCAGTTGTCATTTTCACGTCCTGCACCACGTTGTTTAAATAGCAAATGCAATTGCGCCCATTTGTGCGCCCATGGGCATGCTGGTCTGAAAATGAGGTGTGTTCTGGTGCGTTGCTATTTTGAGGCAACTGAAATAGACTGCGCCACTGACCAACAAAAACCTGGTCTAAAGTCAATGGCGCATTAGTTTTTTTTGTTATTTAAAGAGCATGTTAGTATAGGCAGGTCCACTGCCCGCGTACACTCTGCTTATTACACACACAGGGACGCACATCAGCACACAAACATTCCAAATATTAAAGGGGTCATTGGATGCCCATTTTCCACAAGTTGATATGATTCTTTAGGGTCTTAATGAAAAGTCTGTAACATAGTTTGGTTAAAATTTCTCAATGGTAGTGTAAAAAACACCTTTTTGGCGGACTGATGACAGCTCACTCGGGGCAGGTCTAAGGTAAGACGCCAGTCCAGTTTGTGCTGAAACGCTACTGTCAATCAAACTATCGTGGGCGGGGCTGAGATTGGCTCGATTTGAGAAAGGGGAAAACATTTAACCAGATTAAAAAAAAAAAACACTGGGTGGATTTTTATCATTATAGGGTGGTTGTGTACACACACTGCCAACACACATTTCAGTTCAAACAACTTGTAAAAGTGCATGTAGCATCCTATGACCCCTTTAAAAATTAAAGGATTGCAATGTAAAAGCTTATTATTGTGTAGGCTACATAAATATAAAAATGCCTACATGTCATAATGGATAGTCATTGCATGTATCAGAATTAGGCTACCTAATTTGCTTGCGCACGAGCAGCCCCGTTCCATCTCTGGAGACGCTTCTTTGTGCTTGCAAATTCCACCGTGTAAATAGCAAATCCGCCATGGCACGAGCGCAACTGGCTCTTAAAGGGAATGGGAGATGAGACTCTGATTGGTTTATTGCACGTTGTGCCCAAAACACACCTAATACTCATTAAGAGAATAGGGACAACCCTTTTAGACCATGTGCCGGGTGCGCCGACCATTTTTCCCATTGTTAAACTAGCTATTTGGACACGCCCTAAGTGCACCTGCGCCATGTGCTTTAGACCTTACGCTTAGATCGTTAAAATAGGGCCCATAATATTACAATGATTTATATTCAAAAAACCATGGCAAATGTTATTAGCATGGGTTAACAAAATGCACAAAAGTAAACAATAAACATAAGCAGGTTTCACCTATATGTTGCTATGTGTTTGAGAGGCTGCAAAGCAGCATGTATTGAGCAGCAGGCTCTCTGACAGGCGCCTCTTGTCTCAGTGCTGTCACTCACTGTGGATCAGTTGCCCTTACTTCTCTCCACTGTCACCTTCAGTCAGATAGACCTCCCGAAAAACAGCACAACACTCTGACCGTATGCTGGGGCCACCAGCCCAGGCCATGTTCGGAGAAAAGCTCCCACCGCCTGGCCGAGATGTCATGTGCAAAAATAACTAAACGTACAGGGTCACAGCCAAACTACTAACAGCCAGATAATTGGTGCTCGACCTTAGAGGGATGACAGCTGCAGGAGGGTGACAAGGTATGAGGCTGGTCTGTGGGTTAGGGGCCACCTCATCACATGGGACATTCTAAAGAGTCCTGAAGAGTACAGCATTTCTGATGATTTTGTATTTTCCTGATCCTTTATCATACACCGTGTTCTAAACAGGCAAGTCATAATGGCAGCTAATTATAACATATTTGATGTTTACAATATGATGCCTTTAAGTAGCCTAAACAAAAATTGAAAGAAGGAACTTTGAGGACGTGAAAGCTGCATTCATATATTCAATACCTGTACAGAATGGAAAAATTTGACATTTCGTGATACCTAGTGCATTGTGACAGAAATAGAATTTGAGCAACCAACAAAATCTTGATTATTGCAGTTGCAGCTGGTAAGGACCACAATTTCTTTTAAAATGCACAAGACAGGAATTATAGTTTATTGTTTTACTCAGAAAAATTGCAATCTGTTAAATGGTATGGGAGCTTCGGTTTGGGGTTCTTTCAATCACCAACATCTGAGACAAAGCAATTGTCTTGAAACATTAATAAAGAATGATACATGTAGAACATTATATGAACACTACAATTACATTAAAATAGCAATAACAATAAATATGTGCAAACAGGGGATGTGAAAAGAGAAATTAGCTCTTAATTCTCATTTAAAGATTGACTGGTGCCCCAGGGCAATAAACATAACAAGGTATTAGGACTAATGCCATGCTGACCAAAATAGGCACTAGCTGGCCTGCCGTGCGGGGCTAACGGTGCACTGCTCTGTGCATCACTGTCCCGGTCATTGCCAAATGTAGACAGGTAGAGAGAGATCTTGCTAAGGCCACAAGCCCTGCCTGTCCATCTGTCACTCAGTCCAGCAGCTTACAGCCTCAGAGGGGCCATTAAACAAAGAACAGGCCAGCAAGCATTCACACAGACACACATCAGTCACACATGACCTGAGGTAATGTTAATGTTAGTATTCAATAGGAGTCAGACAATATGGTTTTTTTTATATACCAATGTCAATATCTAGTGAGCAGGGTGGCCAATG